GTGCAGCTCAACAGCCCTCAATTAGCGTAAGTTTTATATAAAAATTAATAAGGAAATATATTATCTTATCCACAGACTTTTTAATTTGGTGCCCTTTGCCCTTCACAGCTGGCTATTTAAGGAGGCGACGGTTCAGGCGGTAGATAATGTGGGAGACGACTGCACCGCCAACGTCAAGGTCATCATTAGTCAAGCTGCATATGGCCGCTACAGGAAGCTGTTTCAGGTCACGTAGTAACAGACGGCCCCAGTTTCACAGCCAGTGCCACATCATCCAAAATAATTCACACACTCAGTGCAATAATTGATGTTTAAATATTTATTTGCTTTATAAACGGTGTATTTCAAATATCTCAAAACCAATATTTTAATACAATAAAATCTGACATTGAGAAACAAAGTGGATTTGTGTTAATATACAGTATAAACCAGGGATCCTCAAATCTGGCCCACGAGATCCTCTGCAGAACTCTGCAGCGCATTGGCCCTCCAGGGCAAGATTTGAGGAACCCTGGTATAAACAATATTGGTAGAAAATGTGTCTGTGAAAAAAATTTTATGTTTTAACTCTCAAAGCTTGATCCAAAATTTTTAAAGGCTGCTTAATTCATCAAGCATAGTTATACAGTAAAAGGCACATGTAAACATATTGAGGATTGAATATTGCACATTTAGGCATTAGTCTGAATACACTTTAGTTCACTAGAACACATGCTAAGTTTGCAAACCTTGATTGATAGATTCCTTAAACAAAGCCTTCACATGTACAAAGATTTCACACGTAACAAGGACTTCACATATAAACCCATTTTACTTCAAAAACTCCTTAAAGCAGTTTTTTGTTGAGAGCAATAACAAGTGAACAAAATGGTACAGGACCAATGAAGTCACCTGCAATTATGTTAAGACATGTGGGTTCAGCTCCTGGTTTCTGATCTTCTAGCCATTTCTTCACACAGTTCCAGTTCTCCATAGTCAGAGTTCGGAGAGACACCCGAGGGTGTGAGGCGATGAAGCATCGATCTGTCGTTAAATTCAGGCCTGATACAAAAAAACCCTCTGCAACAGAAATATGCTGATCAGAGACCAGATATTTAAGAGCAGAGGTATGAGCAACCATCTTTTTTTTTTTTTTTCAAATATATGAAAACAAAAGCTTTTCTCACCAGGTCGACCAAGCTGTTTCTGGCATTCGAGATAGTGGATCAGCTCTTCTGCATTAGGCTTATTGGCCCAATGGTATGGGATAGCAGGCCATAACTCCTTATGGTGTGATGTTGACTGGTCTTCATATGACAACACGACTTGATAGCCTGATGTCCATAGGCTCCGCAAGGTCAAAAGGACCTCCTTTAAGAATATGTATGAGACAAAACAAACCAGTAACATATTTCAAGCCTGTTTTAGTTTAAAGTGTTAGTTTAAATCAGTGCAAACTTAAATATGTTTCTTATGCTCACCAAGGCTGCATTTAGTTGAACATACTGTAAAAACAGTAATATTGTATAATATTATTACAATTTAAAAATCTGTTTAAATATATTTTCAAATGTAATTTATTGCTGCAATGGTAAAGCTGAGTTTTCAGGGTGTTCAATGTCACATGATCGTTCAGAAATCATTCTAATATGCTGATTTAGTGCTCAATTATTAATAATCATTCTTATTATTGTTAATGTTGAAAATAGATTTGGCTTCTTAATATCTTAGAGGAAAAACTGATACTTTTATTTCAGAATTCCACATTTATTTGAAATAGAACCCTTTTTAATACAGAAATCTTTTAAATGTCTCGGTCGCTTTTGATCAATTGGATGTGTTCTTGCTAAATAAAAGTACTAATGTTTCTCTTCTCTTGTATCATGTTTTTCACAACAATATGAAGAAGCACAATTGTTTTCAACATTGATCATAACAAGAAAGCACCAAATCAGCTTATTAGAATGATTTCTGAAGGATCATGTGACACTGAAGTCTGGAGTAATGATGCTGAAAACTCAGCTTAGCCATCACAGGAATAAATGGCATTTTAAAATATATTAAAATAGAACACAGTTCTTCGTTTTGTAATAATATTTCACATTATACTGTCTGTTCTTACAGTTTGATCAAATAAATGCAGCCTTGCTGAGAATTAGAGACCTCTTGATATAAAGGAAAAATTTTATCATGTTCAAAAATTCCAAATGGTTTCTCACATTGCAAGGGCACAGCTTAGAGCCAAAGATTTTCTTCAGAGAATAGATGAATTCCTCATGCCGTTTATAATTCAGCCCTTCAAAATGACTACAAGCCAGGATGATTATTTCTTTGGGATGAGATTCAAGCCATGAAGCAACTGTCTGTAGAGTTTCCTACAAAACACAACATGTTAAAAATCAGAAAATGTACAAAACAAAGAATAAATGGCACATTTGAATAGCTCATTCATTTCAACACTCATGTACTTACAATGACCGTTGCATGTGTGTAAATGACATGAGTGAAGTACAGTTCATTGGAAGAATCATACTGTTTGTGGGCAATTCGAAGATCAAAGTATCGAATGCCTGCTGCAAGTTGCTCCACAATGGTTTGGACCTGATTCATTTATAACACAATAAAGGGCTTTGATACAATGGTACAAATACATTTCTCGTGTAAAAATGCATGAATTTGCACAAGACATAAACTCACTCTTTGAGAGCTAAGGGAGATACACTTTGTTCTGTCTCTGCTATGAGATAGTAAGCATTGTAAGCAGTCAAAATAACCATTAAGTATAAGCCTGCCTGAGTGGTAGCCCATCTGTAAATAGCTGGCCGTGTGAAACAGCAGAAAACTCCATCCAGTAACCTAAATGTGTCGGACTCAGATCGGAGCAGAGGAGAAGTGATATCCAGACAGTAGCTCATTGCATCATGGCTACCTGAAAACAAATGAGGGTTCATTATTGTCTGCATTGATAAGGATGTTTCACACACAAAACACATGTTCTATGCAATAATATATTAAATAAATGCTAAAAATATTATAAAATTACATAACATTTAATAAATACATTTATTAGTTTTAATTTCAAAATCATTAAAACAATGTTTTACTGAAACTTCCTTGTGGTCCACATGGGCTATGGAGGCTCATTTTCCGCTAAATATAATATAATAATATTCCGCCTAAATATATAAATACATAAATAAATTAATTCATTCAAGTCTTTGTGAGACAAAAAATGAGCTGAATTTCGAGATGTAAACACAAGAACTCCGAGGGGGGAAAAAATTGAGAATCGCGCCATGTAAACTCCGAGAAGAACTTAACAATTGTAAGATGTAAATTTAGAATTCTGAGAACGAAAGTCAAAATTGCGAGTTTATAAATCTAAATTCTTAAGGAAAAAAAGTCGCAATTACCCTTTTTGTTTGAGATTATTATTGCGTGGCGAGGCTCACCTGGTATTGAGAGATGTGTTAAAGGGACATCCCACAGTTTCTCTGGCAAACATGACATCCATTCCTCGTGATTAATGTCATCCTTTCCAATGTGATCCATTAGTTCACTGGATCATATAAAAGCAGTAGCTCTTTACAAATTAATCTAAATGGCTGCGTTTGAAAACAAAACGAGTTGATCAGCTGAAACAGTCCCGAGTTTAAGCGAATCAACAGACAACACATAATCGATAATGAGGTTCAAAGCCCAACTCTTTGTAAAAGTGACCGCACAACCTCAACAACATGTTTTACGAAATTGTAAGGGGTTTTAGAAGTGTAACGATCATTCTTTCCCATGAAAGTCTCGTGACGTGTTTCCTCGTTCCCTGCTGCTTCAGTCTGGCACGCTGTACAGCTGCTTGCAGAACAGCATTTTTACTCATGTTGTCGCTCAGTTAAACCGCCTCGAAAAACAGATTTTCCTGTACATGATCACTGGTCATTCCAGTTATGCAGTACGTCTTCATTTCCCCGTCAAGCCTTCATATTTTGGATAAAATACTACATAAAAAAAAATAAACATTTCATTGTTAATTTGATCACAGTAGGATATTATCAGAATATTACAAATAAGGAAACCATGTTCCCGAGTACTTAACTAATTTTCACAAATAATTATATTCCAGGTGTTTCATAATTTTTCCTTTCTCTAATCAAAATGACAGCTATTGGTAAAATTATATTTTAAAAGCAATTTAAAAAATATCAAGCAAACACTGTTACAATTTCCATATTATTTATGCATTTTAAGTCTGACCAGAGCATATGTATGAAAGCACTCGGTGTTTCCTCGTTCCCTGCTGCTTCAGTCTGGCACGCTGTACAGCTGCTTGCAGAACAGCATTTTTACTCATGTTGTCGCTCAGTTAAACCGCCTCGAAAAACAGATTTTCCTGTACATGATCAGTGGTCATTCCAGTTATGCAGTACGTCTTCATTTCCCCGTCAAGCCTTCATATTTTGGATAAAATACTACATTAAAAAAAAATAAACATTTCATTGTTAATTTGATCACAGTAGGATATTATCAGAATATTACAAATAAGGAAACCATGTTCCCGAGTACTTAACTAATTTTCACAAATAATTATATTCCAGGTGTTTCATAATTTTTCCTTTCTCTAATCAAAATGACAGCTATTGGTAAAATTATATTTTAAAAGCAATTTAAAAAATATCAAGCAAACACTGTTACAATTTCCATATTATTTATGCATTTTAAGTCTGACCAGAGCATATGTATGAAAGCATATCATCGTTGATCTGGAAAGAGACACAAACCCCCATTATCAATGGTTCAGTTTGACTTAAGGCTTTCAGCACACTCCATAATCAATAGCACAAGCACAGTGAAATACTGCTTTTCACATCAGCTAATTCTTGCTCCCTCTTGTTTCCGTTTGTGTGCCAGAGAAGACTTCGTTACTAATAACTCATAACACAATTCTATGAATATTGTTAGATGTTTTATTTATTGGAAATATTCAGACATTAAATATGAATAGTTGATATGCCATTCAACTGTTGATATTTTTGTTAGTATAGGCATATTTGTTTGTAATGCAAACTGATATCTTGATTAAACTGGCTTAACATGCTACTGCGGCAGAGAACGTGTGCAACCACAGAAATATTCCAGTGTCTTTTCATGCTTTTCATTGTGCACCATGCAGACATATACTTATTGGAATCATATTTCCATTGCCATTCCACACAGTAGAAAAGAGTTTATCATAGCGAATGAACAATCCTGAGTGTTTGATAATCCTGGCTTGCATTGAGTAGACTTCAGCAATTTTCATGCAAACTCTGATGCTCACAGGGAACTTATTGTGTCCTGTAATGTGCTAAATGTAAAGTTGTGGTAACCTGGACCTTGATAATGACATTTTGAGGTCCTTAAAAATGATCAAAAGTTTAGCAAAATCAGAGGTATATATTGGAGACTGCATAAATAAAATTAGGACAGTAAGTTCAAGTCATAAAAGTCAGTGCATTACAATATTCTACCCATAACTCAAAATGATCTATCATCCTCAGGGTGCATACACACTAGAAACCATTCTCTGACGGAGCGTTTGGCAGACAGGAATGCATAGGTTCCATTTTTGAGTGTATAGAAAGTGCTTTTGGTTGCATGATGGAGCTTCACTTTCACAAACCCTTGTGTTTTTCCTCTACATCCTTGCAATGCACCATCCCTATTGAAATGAATGGAGCTGATGCAGCATAAACTCTAGTGTGTAAGCACCCTTATAAAAAGTGTAAAATTGACTAGTATAAAAAAAACATCCCAAGAACAAGAAAACACTTCTTTCTTCAAATGTTAAATACATTGTGCAGACTAAAAGAGGCTCAAGGCTCTGGTATTATGGTCCTCTTGAGCAGATTTTCATTCAGGGCAATGACGGTTGGTATGAACCGGCTCTCTGTCACAAAGTCCCCAGCTATGATGTTGAGGGAGCCGATGTTAGAACCAGGCTTCTGTTGCTTGACCCAGCTAAGTAATGTGGGATATGCAGACATCACCATATCCTTCAGTGATTCTGTGGGATGGGAGCAAATGTACTTCAGATCTTCAGTAAGATTAATGCCAGTCACAAAGAAGCCGCCTGTGGAAAATGATGCAAATGAGAACTGATGTTTAATTTAACTTTTCCAAGAATTAATAAAAAAATAAAAGCTTACTATTACAGGAAACATTTTCACTTTTCCAAGAATAGTTTTATCAATAAAACACAATATAAAATAAAATGAGTTACTGTTTACAGGAAACATTTTTACTTTTCCAAAGATGATAGTTTTATCAAGAGAATAAATTTAATAAATTAAATATTTAAAAAATGGAATAAAATATATCTAAAAAAATGCATGGAATATTATTAAGGATTACCTGGTCGGCCATTTTGTTTCCTACGTTCAAATTCCTCGATCAGTGCTTCAGCCTTGCACTTATTTGCCCACCAATAAGGTATATGGAACCACAATTCTCTATGGCAGTTAGCAATATTGTGCTCGTATGAAACGATAACTTGATGACTCTGGCTCCATAATTTCCGTAGTGTCACACACTCCTTCCAGAAAAATCAGAAGTATCTTTTCATGATTTTTCATAATTTATTTGAATTTAAAAAAAAATTTATATACATATATATATACACACACAGTGTTGGGAAAAGTTACTTTTAAAAGTAATGCGTTACAATATTGCGTTACTTCCTAAAAAAGTAACTCATTACGTTAGTTACTTTTTATTGAAAGTAATGCTTTACGATACTTTTGCGTTACTTTTTAAATCTGGGCAGGGCTTGCTTGTTTGCTTTTAATATAAAAAGTTATATTTTTGGCTAATGTAAAAGCCCTTTCACAGCAAAAGCCTCAGGCTGAAGGAAATGTAAATTCACATCTGTACAGTAGAACGCAGAAGAAGAAAGTTCAACACTCTTCAGCAATAAAAAAATGATTATCTTGTGTAATTTTTGCTTATTAGTATGGTTGAATTGGATCACTGAAGGTCAGCAGCAAATTGGTTAATAAAATGGGATTAAATACAAAAAGGATATTTGTATTATTTAACATATTTAATTATTGCAGCTTTGAGTCATATTCTGAGTTGCGTTTAACTGTTTTTATTAATTTTGAAGAAAACTAAATCTGATTTTTTTTTTTGTGAGTGAGTGAGTGAGATGAATTAATGCATGTTCACATTTATTCTAGAACTAAAGTAACATCTTACTCCCGATTTCTCTCAACATGGGGACAGGAGAGCTTTCAATCAATAAATGGGAAAAAATAAGTAACGGGCGTTACTTATTTGAAAAAGTAGCTCAGATATTTTCTTGTAAATTAGAAAAGTAATGCGTTACTTTACTAGTTACTTGAAAAAAAGTAATCTGATTACGTAACTCACAAGAAACTGGTTAGATTCAAGTAAAAAACATTTATTTATATTCTTCAAACATCAAATTCAGATTAGAACTACTGCACTTATCAAATTGCACAACAAATAGACAAGACAGGAAATGCTGTACTAAGACTTTTAAATGTTTAATCAATTGTTTTCATAAATTTGTGTAGTCAGTTGTCTTACCTCCACAGTTATAGTGGTATAAACACCATGGTAGAAGTAGAGATCATTTGAGCTGTCATTAGGCCGATGTGCTATCCTCAGGTCACAGTATCGCACTCCAGAATCCAACTGCTCCCTAATACTAGACTCCTATAATGTAAAGCACAATCATTAACAATGCAGGTGCAGATAGTGCTGAACAGTTAGCTGGAGACAAACAAAAACATAAAAACATAAAAACATAACGCTCAATCTCACGTACAGATTTGGGACAATGTGCTCATCCATCAATGAGTACGTTTACATGGACAACAATAATCCGATTTTAACACGATTAAGACAATACTCTGATTAAGAATCTACCATGTAAACATAGATTTTTGATTACCTTAATCCGGCTAAAGTCATATTCGAAGTAAACAGAAATCGAATTAAGACATGTAGAGTATTCCTATTTTAGTCGCATTATTAAAGTGCAGTATAGACATGTAAACACCTTAATCAAATTATTACCGTTGTGTAGGACTTTTCGCCCATTTTGCGACAGGATACACACACGGCAGTGCTCAACCGTTTGACGGCAAATAAAATAGCTTCAACACCCGCCGTCATCTGTATGCACGTACAAATAATTAACTGCACTTGAAGCTTTCATAAAATTAAAAATGAAACACCCAAAATTGAACATGGCATCATCACGAAGACGAACTATATGTTTATCCGACATGACTCGGGCAGAAATCATGTTCATGGATGAGCTAATGATTTATTAACGTAGTAGTATGAAGCAGGGTGAGGCTGAAAGCCGCCGAAGTGAAACGAGGCCGCTGAACGAGCGTGACACACGGCTCGAAAGCTTTTATTATGCCACAGTCAACCGCTTCCCCTCCTTCCTGTCGTGCATATGTGGGGGGAAAGCAGCGCTGTTTTATCATACTAGATACATTTGAACGTTCTGTTATTGTGCTACTCTGTGCGGTCGTCACCGGTCTAATAAAACGCACAACATATTAAAGCGTCTTTGGTGTTTCCATGTTTTCTACAAAACAAACAAAACCGGAAATCGAGGGGTTATGACGTCATTGGCAGGCGACACTATAGACACGGTCCGTGTCACAAGTTAAAATAGCTTATTTCTCTGGATTTAAACATTCTACGAAACATTTGGGATAATGTAAGTACACAAGTCAGCAAAATATATAACACTGTTCTAGTGGTTTTTGGATATTTTAATAAAAAAATCTTACATATTGTGCCTTTAATCATAATATTGGCTTATTTAGAATAAGGTAAATAATTAGATTACTGATGTCCATGTAAACGTAGTCGGTGTTACTTTTGTCATAACTATCCCATCTAATTGTGCTTTCAGAGCTTTCACTGTAGCAAAGCCACTAAGTGTTTGATTGATTTCCTCAGGACAGCAGACGGCAATTTATTCCCCCTCATGCTGATAGATTTCAGAGACTCACGCTCTACAGGAATCTGCTGATGCATGCTGACATAAAATGGTCTATAACCTCATGAGGGATTTGATACCATAACCAGCATAATTGCATTTTTTTTCAGCTTTTACATGTTTAGCCATTATTGAGCTTTTTCAAGCGTGAAAAATTCAACACTTCTAGATATAAAGAATTTGATCATGCATTTTCTGATATAGCTTTAATGATTTTGTATTTCAATATATGAAGGACAACAAGGCTTTCAATGTACTCAGACGGTTTACTATTTGTATGTAACTGACAATGTGAATGGTGCAACCATTGTCCAAAATTATTCCAAGTAATCCAATTGAAAATGCAGAAACATATATGAAAAAACATGTAATGGTGATTATTATATTAATTTTACTGTAATGATAACTAATAATAAAAAAGCACTTTTCGAAAAATGGCTCATTGACGACAATCTGCGACGACATACCTGTGCTATTGCCCACTTGTATACAAATGGCCTTATGATGGGCTTCATGTACTTGTCCAACTTTTGCAACATATCTGGTTGAGTGGGGTCCACTGGAGAGCGGTCATTCCTATCCAGACAGTAGGTCATGGCATTATGGCTCCCTACAAAATCATTAGGACAATGGCACAATGACCGCGAGCACTAATGGCACTGAAAAAAAATGTCTAAGGAAATATAAGCAGACTGTAAAAACAAAACAAAAACAACGTGGTCACTCTAATCAATTAATAATGGCGCCCTCCTAATATAACAATATTCACTCATTCAATACATAACTGTGGATTAATATTACATTGAAACCATAAAAAGTCCAGAATTGTGGGTACGCATTGAAAACACAGAAAAAAGTCCCACTAAAATTGTAATTTTCAGAACTCAAATGTGCCAAACAAGAAAAAGCAGTTTGCATGCAATTAGTGAATGTATAAATGAAAATGTGAGGTTAAATACCTGGAATGGCCATGTAACAGAGAGGGGTTTCCCACAGTGCACTGGGCAGATGGGCCATCCAGTTGTCCATGGGAAGCTCACTCAATGACACTTGGCTGACCTCCGATGTCATCTTGGATTTCTGTCAAAATGTAAAAGGCGAGCGAGTGCATATGCATGTCATTCAAGTTCATCTTGATATTTCGATAAACATCCAAAATAAACTGAAAAAAAGACACCAGCATCAGGAGAAAGCTTAACCAGAAAGCCTTCCTGGATCAAACAGCTTCATCAAAAGACCATTTTGCTGCTCAACAACATGGCTATGCTGGTCCATCATCTAGACCAACTCCAAACCAGCTTGGACCAGCATGGAAATTCATGAAGGTTTATTTAACAAAGCAAAGACTAGTGTCTATGCAAATATAGGATTTTATTCAAATGCAATGAAATGAAATGTGCACTGTCATGAGTTATACAATATCAGGATTTACCAGGCTTTAAATTTGGTTTCTCAGTCCAGGAAGAATGTTTCAGCAAATATGTTTTAAACTATTTTAATTCGTGACACGTGACACGTGGGTACAGGTTAAACCGGCTTCAACAGACTCTAATGCTGAAGGACTCGGATGTTGAAAAGAACACGAGATATCCGTCCGCTTCATTATTGATTCCCAAAGCCCCATGGTGGTCGTGTAAAAGTGGGGTGGATGTTACGCGGTGCTGAACTTGTCATTGGCGACACAAGGTTGAACCGGGCAAGGTATCCACAACAAATCCCGCGTTGATAACCGAAATAGTCCGGAAGAAACTCTCTCTTCTCCGTGTAATGATGAGATTAAATTTATTTTAGAATTTCCCTTTCATTTCAATCATCAAACGAATCTGCTGGACGTTCCGAAAATTCGTCCTTTGGAGCGATATTATAGAAAAGAAATGGTGATAGAAACGGTGCATTTATCCACTGCATTCTCCGCCCGGTCAGTCTGACGGGTTTAGAAACGTACTACGGTGAAGGCTTGGGTCATAAATATTTAATGAGGTAACGAGACGCTCTCCCCATAGGGCGAAATGATTCGCCGAAAGGGGAGACTGCTAGCAAATTACGAACGCGGAAAACTTGGCTCATGAATATTAATTAGGGGAATTGGCTGGTCACAGCGTCGTCAGCCTTGCTTAATTAATATTCATAAACCTTCCCCATAGTAGGATTCGTATTTTGTGCGGGTTTTAATTTTTAGGCAGATGCTAGTATACTTTATGACATTGTCCACGCGATGAATTACTGTCAACACACGTTCTTTTTTCGCCGTTCTGTACTACAGAATACATCTGACTGAGCAAGTGTAATTTCCTCCATTGTTTTCTTTAGATGGGACTGGTGATGCAGCTCCTCTCTGCTGCTGTGAATGCTAAACTGCTGACCTCAGTATTGTAAGAGAAACAGTGTTTCGCGATGACACGGGACTTTTCTCTGATACCTCACAGCATCACTACAGTACATCCACTTAGCACCGAGGTCCTGTGGGGGTTTATTTTGCAATAATCTGACGTTGTACCTTACTTACCTAAAGCTGCAGATGTGGAGGTTTGTTTTACTTGCTATGATTTATATTTCTCTTTTAAGAGCGGGTGCTGCGCTGGTTTAACACGAGTCAAACTCAGCTTTTTCCTCAAATGATCAATAAGCCTTAGGCAGCACTGAAGTCCTGTAGCAGCTAACACAGCAGCCACTCAACCAAAAGAAGATCAGTTGACCCTGTTGAAAAAACCAGCATATGCTGGTTAAACATACCTAACCAGCATATGCTGGTTTTTTCAACAGGGGAGTCCAAAGATAAACTGGTTAAGCTTGAAAAGAACATCAGATGACAGTGGTACTCACCATTATTGTCTATCCTTATTAATATCAAAGTCAAATGGAAATGATTCTGGGCAGCAATATTGAATGATACACTGCTCAGCTAAATATTTAAAACTGAAGCACGTTAAGACTGTTAGAAGACAGATAGAGGGCAGTGTGGCTTTACATAAACACCTACATTAAGAATCAAGCTCTTGAATTGGTCTACAATCATAAAATTACCACTAAGCACAACTTCCCTGACTAAAGCTCTTCAGAATGTAAATGATTAGCTCATTATCGACTTCTCTTTTTGTGTTAGTTTACAGCAGGAGGCAGATGCAGCCTGAGGAAACACAGCAGAGTGCAAAAACGGTGGTTTCTGGAGTGGAGAAAATTTATAAAACTGTGGAGAACACTTCCATTTGGACTAGCCAGAGGGCTGAGGTTGAAGGAAAATGACAGAACACTAATTACTAATCTAGAGTTTTACCTGAACATGACCTCACAATTTAAAGTGGTGGATTTACTACGGTTCAAAAGTTAGGGGTCAAAAAGTCTCTTCTGATCACCAATGAATTTATTTGATCAAAAATACAGTAAAAGCAGTAATATTGGGAAATATTATTACAATTTAAAACAACGGTTTTCTATTATAAAATGTAATTTATTCATGTGAGAGCAAAGCTACATTTTTAGCAGCCGTTACTCCATCTTCAAGGTCTCATGATCCTTTAGAAATCATTTATTACTAGTATGATGACCTGGTGCTCAAAAAACATTACTTATTATTATAATCCAAGACGAAATATTTTTGTGGATTCTGTGATTAATAGAAAGTTCAACAGGATTTATTTGAAAAATCTTTTGTAGCATTATAGGTGTTTTTACTAACAAATGTCCCTTTTGATCAATTTAATGTAAATCAAGCTCTTGAATTGGTCTACAATCATAAAATTACCACTAAGCACAACTTCCCTGACTAAAGCTCTTCAGAATGTAAATGATTTGCTCATTATCGACTTCTCTTTTTGTGTTAGTTTACAGCAGGAGGCAGATGCAGCCTGAGGAAACACAGCAGAGTGCAAAAACGGTGGTTTCTGGAGTGGAGAAAATTAATAAAACTGTAGAGAACACTTCCATTTGGACTAGCCAGAGGGCTGAGGTTGAAGGAAAATGACAGAACACTAATTACTAATCTAGAGTTTTACCTGAACATGACCTCACAATTTAAAGTGGTGGATTTACTACGGTTCAAAAGTTAGGGGTCAAAAAGTCTCTTCTGATCACCAATGAATTTATTTGATCAAAAATACAGTAAAAGCAGTAATATTGGGAAATATTATTACAATTTAAAACAACGGTTTTCTATTATAAAATGTAATTTATTCATGTGAGAGCAAAGCTACATTTTTAGCAGCCGTTACTCCATCTTCAAGGTCTCATGATCCTTTAGAAATCATTTATTACTAGTATGATGACCTGGTGCTCAAAAAACATTACTTATTATTATAATCCAAGACGAAATATTTTTGTGGATTCTGTGATTAATAGAAAGTTCAACAGGATTTATTTGAAAAATCTTTTGTAGCATTATAGGTGTTTTTACTAACAAATGTCCCTTTTGATCAATTTAATGTATCCTTGCTGAATAAAAGTATTAATTTCTTAATACTTTAAGATCTTACTGACCTTATAAATATATTTAAAACGTTATAAATATGTATTTTATTATTATTATTGGTAATTAACTCTGAACCCAGGTTATTTTGCTGACTTGGATGGGCATATGAATGTTTTTATGCTGAAACAAAGTGTTGTATGACTTGTGCTAAAATACTCACTACATCACATTAAAATCCATTCTCACTTTATTACAGGCCATTTTTCATGGTCTTTTGCAAACATAATGAATGGGTCTGGTGCCAAGAAGTGACGAAAATGGATCGGAGACAAAAAAAAGAAAGAAAAGAAACAAACGCGGCATGAAATTGATTCTAAATATAAACATTAAGGTCTGACATTTCCCTTCACACTCTGAAGACACAAAGGTAAGACCATTTCAGTTGCACAAGCACACTGTCTTTTCAACATGTCAATTTTAACATTAGCAAAGAAGCGGCAACAAAGCAAAAGGAAGAGAGACCAAAGAGATGGAAGAACAGAGAAAAAAAAAAATAGGAAGCAGTCCTGCCAGACACCAGCACCTCACAACAATCAAACACATGATTTGTCAGACCAGAGTTAAGTCTTTATTTATTTGCATAAGCATATCAGTAAGAAAGTATGATACCGTTTCAGTATGTGGAAAGCATCTCAATGTGCTCCAGATCTTAACACAAACTACTATGTACAGTCTAAAAAGTGAGGTTCCTTTTAAGTATAGAAACACTGCTTGACGGCTCATAAAACCTACTGTATAGCAGGTGCTCTCACAAACTGAGTCCAAGTGCAGCAGAAACCCTATGGCTGGTTAGAGAGACACAGTGATATATATCAGTCCAACACAAAAATAGACCAATCACTTGAACTTCTGCAATCAGCCAGGGAGAGCATTTTGGCACACTGTACTAAACCCCATCGGCTGATCCTCAACAGAGGAAAACAGAATCTGGCACTTTTGATTACCGCCAGAGGACTATGGTAACTTGTGGCAGTGGGTTTGAGATGTTTTTAATGCTTTTGAAGATTGTCACCTTTGCACTGACGTCCTAGAGCCAAAAGACAGTTTTGCTCGGCTGGCAGACTTGACGTAGCCTCCAGCTGGTCCTCTCTGATTTTGCCCCCTCCCTCCCTGCCGGCACTTCCCTTTAGCCTCCGGCTCAGAGTCACTGAGCTCTGCATCCGGACAGTAACCGTCGCTCTCTTGGCATGGCTTGCTGCCCCCTAGCGGCCGCTCATTAGAAACCGGTTTGGAGAATCCGGAGGACTTGCGTGCGTTCTTCTCAAAGGCCCGAAGATCCTCAGTCCGTACTAAACTGACAGTGGCCTTCTTGAGGGATCGACTGAAGTGTTCAAGAGAGGTTTTGTGGAATCCACCTGACTGACTTTTCCCTGAAATCTCATTGCATGTGTCCTTTTCAGTGGACGTCTGGCAGGAAGTGTCTCTTTGGAGTACGGGCTTGTCCATAATGCCGTTGGATTTCAATTGGTGGGTTTTCTCTGGTTCAGAGGTGGTTTTGCCTTTCCTATTAGACGATTGACCGTGGAGGGCAGCATGCAGAGCTAAAGGTTTGCCAGATTGCTTCACGACCAATGGGGGAGTCCCACCATCTCGTCGTATGTAGATGGAGGCTGGCAAGAGACCATTGGCGCGCTCCTCTATCCTTACCCGTCCAAGATGGAGTTGCGGTTTGCCCTGACCGATGCCTCCCTCATTAGTGTCATATACGTTACCACTGTTATCCGGGCACAGGGGTCCATTAACAGATTTGGAGCTGATTTTGCCATTGCCAAGTGACACTTTGGGCATTTTGAGTTTTAGGGTTATCCTAGGAGGGTGGAACAATAAGTTCTCTAAAGAAGAGGATGCTGGAAGCCCTACCAATAAAAGTAGAAGTTAGTCAATTATTCAGTGGTGCTGGAATGTCATGGATTTTTTTGATTGAAAGAGTTTAACTTTAAGTATAAGAAGTGTAGAGTACAAAGTTAAAAATGATTTAAAATGTATTTTTATTACAAAAAAATAAAAAAAATACATCAAAATTAGAGTAAATTTGAACTCCAAGCTACAACAAACTACAAATTAATAAAGGAATAAAAAAACAAAACAAAATAATTAATAAATACAGAAAAAAAAGTGAATTACCTGAAGATAACTCTTGGTTAATGAGTTTGACATGTAGATTGAAAATCTGCTCCTGAGCTTTACTCTGGGACAGCTTCAGTTTCTCTCTTCGACTCACCATGTAACACAAGTTTCTCACCTGAAAAAACGACACACACTTCAGGATCATAACTTCAAAAACTCCCAACATGATACTACTGGTTTAAGCATGCATTTACACTACTGTTTGCGGTCACTAAGTTTGCGGTCAATTGTTTTTGTAAAGGATGCCTTCAATTAAATCACAAGCAGTAATAAAAACAATAAATAAAATTATAGTGTTACAAAACATTTATATTTAAAAGAAATG